AAATGTTTACAAAATGTACATACATTGGAAAATTAAATCCTGCTTTGAGCTCTTCTCACTAACAGGAGTGAAATGTGTTCAAATAAATGAAAATTCAGAAAATGACTCCCTACTTTAACTTGAGATTGTTTGACTAAATTGATATTACTTTTAGGATATGTTTTGTACACTTTTGGCAGATTTGCTAGAGGGGCTGTCACCTTGTCATGTGATCGGAATTAAGAACCATAACAGTATACTACATGGCCTTGAAAAAGGTTATTGACACAGTCTTTTATACAGGAAATATGTTTGCGCAACAGAAATATGTATCATTATAACAAATACCTAATACTGAAATCCTCTCTACTAAACTATTGTGAAAGTTTTACTGTTGATTTTGATGACCTACCCCACTAGCTGATGCCACTCTATACTTTTTCATTGGTTGTTTTTAGATGAAGACTATTTTCAGATGTTGGTCAAACATGCCGTGAGTGTTCGCAGGAAAACATGAACAAAATGCAGTATAAGATAATTAAAGGAAAGTCCTTCTACAAGAGAGTGTTTAAACCGAGATTGTGATGTACTTTAGAGCTTTTTCTGGTCTGTCTACGAAGCGGCCACGCGACACAAGGTCTCAATCTTACTATTTCTCTGTTACATGTACATTTAAAACACTTAAAGTTACAAGTTGAAGCTGGTGTGGAAAGACTATTCTCTTTGTACCTAAACACGACTTTAATAAATCAGTTGTTTTAAGCGAAAGCAATGAATCAGTTTGTTTTATTCAGTCTTTGTGTTTTAGGCGCCCGCCTTTTAGTTTTGTTCCAGGAAACAGGTACGACTGTAACTGCGCATTGTCATGTCTGGCTGTTCATCTTTAAGAAAACATGAGGCCAGCAGTTTTTTAACATCTCTTAATTCTCTTAATTTTTCACAATTGTAAATGTTTTTTTTTGCTTAAGTATTAGTTTATAGACAGTTAAAACACTTAAAGTTACAAGTTGAAGATGGTGTGGAAAAAATATTTTCTTTGTACTCGTCTCTAAAGCGAAAGCAATGATTCAGTCCATTTTATTCAGTCTTTGTGATTTAGGCCTCAGCCTTTTAGTTTTGTTCCAGGAAACAGGTACGACTGTAACTGCGCATTGTCATGTCTGGCTGTTCATCTTTAAGAAAACATGAGGCCAGCAGTTTTTTAACATCTCTTAATTCTCTTAATTTTTCACAATTGTAAATGTTTTTTTTTGCTTAAGTATTAGTTTATAGACAGTTACAAAAGTGTCAGTAATGAAGCTTATAAGTATTTTTAAATAATTATAATAAAGTTACAGGTTTCCGTTAGTTGGGCAAACACTTGACAGAGTGTTACTCAAACAGTCCTCAGCGTAATCTTTTAATAAAATATTCCATTGAATGTCACTAAGACAAATCCTGTAACAGCGTTCATAAATGAATATAAACGTCCAAATCTTTCTAACGACAATAAATCAATACAATATAGCCCAACAACACAAACACAAATGCTTGTTATAACTCTTTCACACACCAGACTGATCCCTGGTAAGTACGCCTAAAATTGCTAGATATCTTGACTTTATCCTAGTGTTTAAAAGCGCTAGGCCTTGTCACGCCGTAGTTGTAACGGGGCTGACAAGACGTGAGACGTGCGGATCCATATGCAAGCTTTATTAACATCAGAAACACAGGTAGGGTCGAACGGTGGCAAACAGGTATATGGCGGGCAAGACACAAGAATAGTCCTAGGGCTAGCGTAGGTCAACGATTGGTGAACAGGATCACAAGGGCAAGACTAAAGGGATAAATCCAGAAAAACAGGCACAGATCAAAAACCGAGAAAACAGACAAGGAAAGACTAGGCTGGGCTGGGCTAGGAAGCTAAAGAGGGCTCTGTAGCGTAGCTATCACTACGGGCGATAAGCGCATACAATACTTGGCACCGGGAAGGGATCAGAGTGAGTGTTAAATAGTGAGTGAGTGATATTAAACAGCTGTGTGCAATCAGTGCTGTGTGCAATCAGTGCAATATGTAGTTCAGGGTGATATGCAACAGTGTGTAGTGCGAGAGTCAATGAAAATGGAAAGGGTGACCTCTGATGGCTAGCAGACTTGTCATGTGATCGGAATTAAGAACCATAACAGTATACTACATGGCCTTGAAAAAGGTTATTGACACAGTCTTTTATACAGGAAATATGTTTGCGCAACAGAAATATGTATCATTATAACAAATACCTAATACTGAAATCCTCTCTACTAAACTATTGTGAAAGTTTTACTGTTGATTTTGATGACCTACCCCACTAGCTGATGCCACTCTATACTTTTTCATTGGTTGTTTTTAGATGAAGACTATTTTCAGATGTTGGTCAAACATGCCGTGAGTGTTCGCAGGAAAACATGAACAAAATGCAGTATAAGATAATTAAAGGAAAGTCCTTCTACAAGAGAGTGTTTAAACCGAGATTGTGATGTACTTTAGAGCTTTTTCTGGTCTGTCTACGAAGCGGCCACGCGACACAAGGTCTCAATCTTACTATTTCTCTGTTACATGTACATTTAAAACACTTAAAGTTACAAGTTGAAGATGGTGTGGAAAAAATATTTTCTTTGTACTCGTCTCTAAAGCGAAAGCAATGATTCAGTCCATTTTATTCAGTCTTTGTGATTTAGGCCTCAGCCTTTTAGTTTTGTTCCAGGAAACAGGTACGACTGTAACTGCGCATTGTCATGTCTGGCTGTTCATCTTTAAGAAAACATGAGGCCAGCAGTTTTTTAACATCTCTTAATTCTCTTAATTTTTCACAATTGTAAATGTTTTTTTTTGCTTAAGTATTAGTTTATAGACAGTTACAAAAGTGTCAGTAATGAAGCTTATAAGTATTTTTAAATAATTATAATAAAGTTACAGGTTTCCGTTAGTTGGGCAAACACTTGACAGAGTGTTACTCAAACAGTCCTCAGCGTAATCTTTTAATAAAATATTCCATTGAATGTCACTAAGACAAATCCTGTAACAGCGTTCATAAATGAATATAAACGTCCAAATCTTTCTAACGACAATAAATCAATACAATATAGCCCAACAACACAAACACAAATGCTTGTTATAACTCTTTCACACACCAGACTGATCCCTGGTAAGTACGCCTAAAATTGCTAGATATCTTGACTTTATCCTAGTGTTTAAAAGCGCTAGGCCTTGTCACGCCGTAGTTGTAACGGGGCTGACAAGACGTGAGACGTGCGGATCCATATGCAAGCTTTATTAACATCAGAAACACAGGTAGGGTCGAACGGTGGCAAACAGGTATATGGCGGGCAAGACACAAGAATAGTCCTAGGGCTAGCGTAGGTCAACGATTGGTGAACAGGATCACAAGGGCAAGACTAAAGGGATAAATCCAGAAAAACAGGCACAGATCAAAAACCGAGAAAACAGACAAGGAAAGACTAGGCTGGGCTGGGCTAGGAAGCTAAAGAGGGCTCTGTAGCGTAGCTATCACTACGGGCGATAAGCGCATACAATACTTGGCACCGGGAAGGGATCAGAGTGAGTGTTAAATAGTGAGTGAGTGATATTAAACAGCTGTGTGCAATCAGTGCTGTGTGCAATCAGTGCAATATGTAGTTCAGGGTGATTTGCAACAGTGTGTAGTGCGAGAGTCAATGAAAATGGAAAGGGTGACCTCTGATGGCTAGCAGATGGAAGTTCATGGACCGGACACGTAACAGTAGTGAACTGTAAACCGCAAAGGTTTTCATGCCGTTAAACTAAGAAACCAATACAGTTTTATGTCTCCACGATTTTGTTAGTTCTTTCTGTTTGAATTTGTTTACAGCAGTTTCGCCATTCTTATTTTCCCATCTAATCGTAATTGTTAGGCCTTGTGCTTTGTTTCCTAGTTTTTGCTGTCACATTAGAGGTCTCTTCTTCCATATACGCAATATCTCTGTGAATTTGCTTGATTTAATAAAATATCGCTTTAATCCGTCCTCTTCATTTGAAACATTTACATTATATTATCCTAGTTTATATCAGATATAAGATACAAGATCGTTTCTTAATAATTCTCTTCCATCTACACTCTATTCTGTCTGTGCGTTTTCTTTTTATTCAATTGATAAAAATAAAAAATAAAAAACTTTGGTTTAAAAGTTCATTCTTTTAAATGACCGAGTTACCTTGTAATATTTAATCAAAATATCTTCTGGTGAAAAACGACAGAAATCTCTTTGGTGGCATATGCGAGGCTTCGCTGGTCAAAGCACACCCCTAACCAGGCCCCCTTCACCCTCCTCCACTTTTGAGTGCAACGCCCCCATCTCAACAACCAGCCAACAGTCGAAACAAAGAAACAAGACCTCTGCCCCAATAATTTATTTTGCTCGAATGTACGGTGCTATACAGAAGATCCGTCACTACTTCCTCTTGACTAATGCTACGCTACATAGCACCCTCTGTAAGCGAAGAGCAGCCGTTCTGATAAACTCTGCTGTTATTGCGTACTTTCCTAGATCTGCGAACAATACCGGTTGGATACAATACATGTTGCAACTTCTTATTGATCAAACCGTTATCTACACGGACCGACAGAATCAGCTTCAACAATCCAATTTGTCTGAACCTGAAGAACTCTGCAATTTTTCAATTAATATCGCTTTGGGGGATCTGACGCATAAACCCGAAATTCAAAGCATTGTGGCCTGGACCGTCGCAGATTAAAACAGTCAATCCAGATTCTTGGAAACGGCATTAACATTATCGATTAGGAGACAAAATTTACATCTTGGAAAGAATCGAATTCTGAAAAGGATGTCTGACGCTACGCAAAAGCTGATGGAGCATGCATGGAGTTCTGGTGCTGCTGCGGATGAGCAAGTGGAGTGCGGCTGCGCTGCGGGAAAAACATGTCCTGTAAAAGTCGTTATACACTCTATGTTTAAACAATGTTACAGAGACCAAATGATTGATCTTATGTGTAAGATCATTGACGATGCGTCCGATCCGAATCATGATTGTACGGGTGATACCAAGCGTGTATCAAATATCAAGAATGAAATGGACGTTGTAAGAAGCCTGAAAAATAATCCATGGCCCGATTTGACAAGCATGTATATGTCCAGCAAAGAACCAATCCGCATAACTACCAGAAAAATTCTGGATGTGACGTCTGAATGTAGCGATGAGATGTACGTTAACGAGTTTCTCTGTCTGTGTACGTGTATAAGGGATTTATGTGTGACGCTGGTCTCAAAACATTATGGTTCCAAAATATGTGAAATAATTGAGATGCTTGTTGACTTCATACTAGACAAAAACATAATAGCCTGATAAGATTTTCTTTTCCTCCTAGACCACTGTTTGTAAAGGCAATTTGATCATTTTTTTCACTACATATAATAAAAGGTAAATAAAAGGTTGAATCACCTGACTCGTTATTCTTTTCTCCTAGTTAAATTTTTGGATTTTAATGATTTTGCATACGCCTTTATCCTAAGCGACTTACAAATGAGTATGATAGAAGCAACAAGTCCTGGATAGTTTAACGCAGTACACGTAGTACACGTAATTGAATAAAAAGAAAACGAGTAGAATAAATAGAATGTATGAGTGTAGATGGAAAATAATTATTAAGAAACGATCTAGTATCTTATATCTGATATAAACTAGAATAATATAATAATTAACTTAAATGTCTCGAACGAAGAGGACAGGTTAAAGCGATATTTTATTAAATCAAGCAAATTCACAGAAATATTGTCTATATGAACAAAGAGCTCATTAACATGACAGCAAAATCTAGAAAACAAAGTGTAAGGCCTAGCAATTACGATTAGATGGGGAAATACTACAAGAGTGGTGAAACATAACATTTCAAAGTGTAACCCTATGAAAGACTTTGCAGTTTATATCTCACAACGGTGTGACCAGGCCTAGCACAGTAGCGCCTTTAAACACGTGGATAAAGTCAAGATATCTAGCAATTTTAGGCGTACTTACCAGGGATCAGTCTGGTGTGTGAAAGAGTTAGAACAAGCATTTGTGTTTGTGTTGTTAGGCCATATTGTTCTTATTGTCTCTATAAAGATCTGTACATTTACATTCATTTATGAACGCTGTTACAGAATTTGTCTTAGTGACATTCAATGGACTATTTTATTAAAAGATAACACTGAGGACTGTTTGAGTAACACTCTGTCAAGTGTTCACCCAACTACCGGAAACCTGTAACTTTATTATAATGATTAAAAAACACATATTAGCTTCACGCCTGACACTTTTGTAACTGACTATAAACTAATATTTAAGCTAAACAGACATTTACAATTGTGAAAAATTAAGAGAATTAAGAGATGTTAAAAGCTGCTGGCCTCATGATTTCTTAAAGCCAGACATGACAATGCGCAGTTACAGTCGTACCTGTTTCCTAGAGCAAAACTCAAAGGCGGACGCCTAAAACACTAGGACTGAATAAAACGGACTGGATCATCGCTTTCGCTTAAAACAACTGATTTATTAAAGTCGTGTTTAGAGACGAGTACAAAGAGAGTAGTGTTTCCTCACCATCTTCAACTTTAAGTGTTTTAAATGTACAGAGAAATAGTAAGATTGAGGCCTTGTGTCTTGCGGCAGCTTCGTAGACAGACCAGAAATGAGCACATAGCATTATTTCAAATAATAACATGTTAACAAACAATGGTTCTTTGTGTGATTTCATAATAAAAGCATCTAAATTGTAAACAAACTATTATCTTTTATATTAAAACTTAATAAAAATTGTTTAGTAGCACACAGTTGTTTAAGACATGAACCAAAACCACATTAATGTGTTATCAGTCCTTTTACACATATTTTGTGTATTATCAATTTTAAGAGTGAATGGTTTATCGTGCATGCAGATTATATTTTAAAGTTGTTAAGCTAAATCAATGAGTTTATTAGGATGCTTTATTCTTTCTATAGACTTATACTTTAGACATGTAGAACATTTCTGCGTTTTTTATGTGTAGGCTAGTCAAAATTGGTCAGTCGTGACTCGTATCCGACATAAAGGATCAATGCATAAAAATGCGACCATAAACATCAACTAAAATGAACAAAAGACAATAATCAGCAATATGCGTTCACACAGATAACTTTATTTGAATGTTTCATTGATATAACACGATACTGAGTTAGAAAAGAAATGTATACTGACATCATTGCATGATGACTAAAGGAACCGACGAATCGGTTCTTTGAAGCGGTTCATTGACTCAAAATCCCCGAAAGAATTGCTTTGCGAAAATTAATCGGACTTTGCATCACTATCATCACTAAATTGTAACATCGCAACAGGGAAGGACTGTATACTTCACAAATAGTGTGGAGATGTGAGTATTTTTATACAGGGTATCTGAGCATGCGTATATTTAGAAGTCCAACATTTTAGACCGCTGCCATGTATAAGTATTCTGGGGTATTGCCCCCTGCGGCCATGTTTGAAGTCTGAGGTTTATGCTGGGATTTGTAGTTCCCTGACCTAGAAGTCTGTAGAGTTTGAATGAGGTATTAGTTACACTTGTTAAATTTAACATCTTTGTAAAAAAAAGTAAAAGTACTTTAAAAGCAATCCTAAATGTAACTGAAAGCCAGTGTAAGGACCTGAGGACTGGTGTGATTTGCTCAGATTTTCTGATTCTAGTCAGAATCCTGGCAGCAGCGTTCTGGATGAGCTGCAGCTGTCTAATGGTCTTCTTGGGAAGGCCGGTGAGGAGACCATTACAATAGTCAACCCTGCTGGTAAGGCATGAACAAGTTTCTCCAAGTCTTGACTGGAAACAAAACATCTAATTCTTGCAATGTTTTTGAGATGATAGTATGCTGATTTAGTTACCGCTTTGACGTGACTACTGAAACTAAGATCTGACTCCAGAATCACACCAAGATTCTTGACTTGATTTTTTAGTTGTTTGACCTCTAGAGATCAGGTATGCATTCACCTTGAGAAATTCGTCTTTGTTTCCAAATGCAATGACTTCAGTACATGTTTGAAATGTTATGTTTGTAAGGTGATGGTGGATAACGTAGAATGTCAACTGTTAGTGCGAATAATTAACAATTTAATTAATAATATAATAATATTTTAAGTGTATTGTTTTAAATAAAGTATATAATATGGTTTTTGAAATATTTAAATGATAGATGATATGGATAGTAAAGATACTTTTAACATAAAATATAATCACAGCGGGTAGATGTGGGTGATAGTTCGATAGACTGATAAATCATACATTACTTGTATTAGCTCTTTGCTTTTAAATAGAGTTTTTTTTAACAGCGGCAGATAGCCTGCAAAATGACTCTTCCGCTCTATGTTTGAAAATAGCAGAGGTATGTGTAAAATTTACGACCATAGCAAAAGCCAAATAATTTGCTCCATATGTGAAAACACCATATTGCACCAAACACCAAACAGCAAACTTTTTAAATAACCTGAACATAGCCTAATGGTAGTAAAGGGCACAGTTCTTGGATTACTTCTAGTTTTATTTTTAAACATACAGAAAGACGTTGATGAAATGTTTCATCACATGAGTGAGGGGATTAAAACATTGAAGATGATACATAAAATAAGAAACTTTTAAAGATGCTGAAGTGATTGATGTGGAATAAATCTAATATAAATTATACTTTAGTTGAAATGTAAGCAAAAACCTCAGAAAATGTACACTGTAAAAAATGACCGTGATTTTAACTGTAAAAGTCTGTAAAAATGCCACAGTAAAAACCTGTTAAATGATTAACAGTAAGTTTCCTTACTATATACGTTGAATAACTGTAATAGATCTAACCTTTGTTTTCAAGAAAGTAGCCTCAGATTCGACACACAGAGACTGTGTCTGAAATACACCCTAAACCCTCGTTCACTATTCCCTACATTAGTTCACCATATAGTCCACTAGACCGAGTGATTGAAAACTAATGAGTGAATTCAGACACTGGTGAACAGCTGCTGTTAACGAGCAGAATCACTGAAGAAAAGAGCAAGAAATTGAACTGACTTCAGCCACAGCCTTAGATGAAATTAACCTAAATAAAACTGCAGATGATGATTAAACAACTCCACAAACAGCATTACTCATTACTAACCAGACTCACTTTATTTCTGTGATATATCTACAAAAATTCTTTGAGAAGTAACAGAGGTGTATATTGTATTGAAAATGTTTTGTTTGGCCTCACCATTTTGGCGATCAGTGGTTGCTTTAGTTGGGCTCTTGACCCTTGACTCTTTAATGTTAGTCTTTGTTTGCTGTTGTAACTGTGTTTGTAAACTGTGTTAGTCTTTCTTTGCTGTTGTAACTGTGTTTGTAAAACGCATTTGTTATGACAAGAAGAGCCGAGAGAAGTTGCAATGAAGTGGTTTTAATAACTATTAATGATGATGAAATTATCATTTCCTTTTTCATGACCTGATTCATGATCACATTTTGTGTCTAATTATATGGGTAAATTAATATTTTGTTTATGGTACTAATGACTCTACAAGATAAGTTGACTGCCATCCTCCAGCGTCGCTGGGGTTGGAGTTTCCCTCACCTCTGCCTCCAGCCTCCGAGGCCCGGACTCCGCCTCGGCCTGTAGACCCAGTGGCTCCACCTCGGCTCCTAGCTCCCTCGCCTGCACCGTCACCCATCGATCCATCAGCTCCACCGGGCTCCCCCCTCCCCCCCCCCCCGCCCTGGTTCG